TGACACGATGATTGAGTCTGCATGGATTCAGTCCAGGGGGTGATCATAGCCTGCAGGCAATTTGTGAGCAATTGGCGAAGACTGCTTCGAGCATCCAGACTTGGGCTAGGGAGGTCTTTGGTTCTATTAGGAGGCAGATTAAAGATCTCAAAGCTCAGATGGTTGATGCAAAGGCTAGGGCATTGACCACTGGGTACACACCAGAGATAAAAGAGATTGAGGGTCAGCTGCAAGAGGTGTACGAACGGGAAGAAATTTTTTACAGGCAACGATCACACATTGATTGGCTTCAATCAGGAGACCAAAACATGAGATATTTCCATAATCGGGCTTCTCATCGGAGGCGCAAAAACATTGTGAGGGCTCTCAGAAAGGAGGATGGGTCTCGTTGCTCGATGGGCGAGGAAATGAGGGAGATGGCTGCTTCATTCTATGCGAACCTGTTTTCTTCTGAGGGCTCAACTGGCTCCAAGGCTGTGCTTTCTAGCATTTCTCATCTTGTGACTGATGATATGAATTCGAAGCTGTCCTCCCTGATCACAGATAAGGAGATTGAGGAGGCTCTTTTTCAAATGGGCCCGACGAAGTCGCCGGGACCGGATGGCTTTCCAGCACTCTTCTATCAACGACATTGGTTGTTGGTGAAATATGATGTTTGTGCTGCTGTTCGTGGCTTCCTCATGGGCGAGACCACTCCAGAGTCTTTTAATTCTACGGTGATTGTGATGATTCCTAAAGTTAACTCACCGGAGTTACTTTCGCAGTTTCGCCCTATTAGTTTATGCAATGTGCTTTATAAAATAGCTACGAAAGTGCTTGCTAATCGCCTTAAAGGCATTCTTCCTTTATTGATCTCAGAGGAGCAGAGTGCTTTCGTCCCGGGGAGGCTAATCACGGACAATGTTTTGGTTGCATGCGAGTGTATTCATGCTATTAGAACCAGGAAGAGGAAGAAGAGTCTCTGTGCGGTCAAGCTTGACATGATGAAGGCGTATGACCGGGTGGAGTGGAGTTTTTTGGAACATGTCTTGAGGAAGTTTGGCTTTGGGGCGGAATGGATCAGGATGGTTATGAGGTGTGTTACTTCTGCAAGTTTCTGTGTGAAGCTCAACGGGGGTCTTTCAAGGAGATTTATTCCATCTAGGGGGCTCAGACAGGGGGACCCTCTATCCCCATATTTGTTTCTGTTCTGTGTGGAAGGTTTTTCGTCTCTTCTGAAGCGTGCTCAAGAACAGGATGCTATTCGCGGTGTTTCTTTTGGAGGCACTGGCCCCAAGGTGACTCACCTCTTGTTTGCAGATGACAGTATTGTATTTCTGGAAGGGACCCAATCGAGCATGGAGGCGTTGAAGAGCATCTTGGAGAGATATGAGGTTGCATCTGGACAGAAAGTTAATCTTCAAAAATCATCTATATTTTTTGGGAAAGGCTGTCAAGATGAAACGAAGGCTATGATCAAGCAAGTTAGTGGCATTTCTTCGGAGGCTCTTAGTGAAAAGTATTTAGGTCTTCCCACACGGGTGGGGAGATCTAAGAATGGAACTTTTAAATATGTGGTTGAGGGCTCTAAGGGAAAGGTTGGAGGGTGGAAAGGACAAGGATTGTCAAAGAAGGCTAGGGAGGTTTTGGTTAAATCCTCGCTCCAAGCTTCGCCGACTCACACCATGAGTTGTTTCCAGCTGACCAAGAAAACGTGTCGGAACCTGACTTCTATCTCGTCGAAATTCTGGTGGGGAACAATCAATGGTGAGAGGAGGGTACATTGGATCTCGTGGGACAAGATGTGTATGTCTAAGAAGGAGGGTGGACTAGGTTTTAGGGACCCGGAGGCTTTCAACCAAGCCATGTTGGCCAAGCAAGCGTGGCGCCTGCATCAATACCCATCCTCCTTGTGCGCTCGCGTCCTGAAGGCTAGGTACTACCCGCATTGTTCTGTTCTGAATGCTACCTGCCCAGCTGCAGACTCCTTCACTTTCAGAAGTATCTTGCATGGACGTGATCTGTTGCGGGAGGGATCTATTTGGCGTATTGGTGATGGGTCAACTATCAATGTTTCATCATACTAACTGGATACCGAGGGCTGGACACATGCGGCCACTGGGCCAACGGTATGTTCAGGGTGTCACCAAGGTTGCAGACTTATTGAATCCAGATGGATCTTCTTGGGATGATGCAAAGGTGACTGATATGTTTTCTGAGGATGATGCTCGCGACATAAAGCAGATTGCCGTGGGGGGTCCGGGGACTGAGGATTACCTGGCTTGGAACTTTACTCACAATGGTATCTTCACTGTCCGCTCGGCGTATCACCTGTGTATGGAAAAGAAGAAACGTCGTTCCGGTCAGCTGGAAGGCTCTAGTTCAGTCGCGAAGCATAAAGGATTTATGGCTTTGTGGGATACCTCTGCTCCAGGCAAAGCGAAGATACATGTTTGGCGCTTGATTCGAAATGGCTTGGCTGTGGGTGCTGAGCTGCACCGTCGCCGGATCAAGGCCGGAGTTTTCTGCCCGGTGTGTGGCCAAGAGGAGTCTCTGGTTCACCAGTTCTGGGGCTGCCACCATTCCATTCAGTTCTGGAAGCTGCTGCGGTCTGCGCTGGGTGTTTTGGCGGCCTCCCCGCCAGGTCATGTGAACTCCCATCGTGAGTTGGCTGACTGGCTGATTTCATGGTTTGCTTCGGCAGGTGAAGAGGACAGGGAGGTTCTGATTCATGCCACCTATGGCTTGTGGTTGGCTCGGAACGAAGCGCGTGATGGCAAGAAGATTGTGCCCCCCAGGATGTGCTGGAAAGGGTCGCTTCGGCCATGGCGTCATGGAAAGAAGCTCATGCTGCCCCTGCTAGGCAGACGATGGCAAGGCCGGTGCAGCGGTGGGAAGCTCCGGAAGATGGATGGATCAAGGTCAATATTGATGGGGCTCTTGAGAAACAACAGAACAAGGGCGGTGGTGGGGTGATCCTACGCGACCACAACGGCGGCTATGTGGCTTCGACCTGTTTCTTCTTTCCACTTTGTGCAGATCCCGAACGTGCGGAGCTTATGGCGTGCCTGAAGGCGATCAAGATGGCGAGGGAGCTGAATGTTGACAGGATTCATGTGGAGTTGGACTGCCAGGCTCTGGTGAAGATGCTCCTGAACCCTGAAAAAAACTTGTCTTTGGTTGGGCCGTGGATGGAGGAGGTTAAGAGGACGCTGAGGGAGTTCATAAACTTCAAGATGAGCTGGGTTCGACGCTCGGCAAATTCTGTTGCTCATAAGCTTGCTAGAGTTGGTGTTGGTGAGGAGAGACGTCAGGTGTGGACTGGTGTGCCGCCTGGTTTTATCCTAGATGTTGTATCGGATGACATTCCGATCTATGTTTAATATATAAGTGTGTTTCCCCTCAAAAAAAATAAGAGTGTTTGGTTACATTGCTTAGTAAGGAAATTGCTCGGCTAGCCCAGCCAGCCAGCTTTCGCTTTGCTAGCCTTGCCTAATGAAACGGTTAGGTTCCTTTTCTTACTAGCCTTGCCCAGTGAAAATTGTTGTTAGGAGTGGATCGTCGATTTCTCCGCATGTGAAGTTTGCCATTGGAAGCGAGCCGATTTGGCTCTCCTGAGCTAGCAAGGTTTTCCTAGCGCATCCAAGCTAGCTGGCCCACAAAATCTAAGACATCTTAACAGTTCCAAACACCTAACCTTGTCGGGCAAGGCTATAACTATTCTTGCTAAGGATCCAAACGCTCCCTAAGAAACTCCTCAAGAACGTGTGTAACTCACTTGGTGCATGTTGTAAGACGCGGTTTCCTATTGCTCCACTCTGCGGCAAACTGCCGTTGAATTGTACAGGAGCGACCGAGCTGGGCTGGCCCATTTAAAGCTAGGAAAGGTGGACGTTGGTTCTGGTTTTGGAAACTTTTCTGAAGGTTCTTAACTGCTTCAGATCTGTTTGTTTTTCTTTTCATGTTGTTTCTAGTGTCGGTTTCCATTATCTTTTTTTCCTTTTTTAGAAAATTACCTTGTTAAAAAAATGTTTGGAATTTCAAAATTTGTTTGCTGTCAAAAAAACAAGGTTTGTCGTTTTCAAACATTTGTGACATTTTTTTTGTGAACAAACATTTGTGACATTGTTAAATGGTGTGGGAGTTAGATGTGACATTGCGAACTCTCTTCTAAATGAGAGCTGGACAATCGTAGAATATTTATATCTCGTGGCCACGCACAAGAGACTAAGAAATTAAACAAAAAATTGACAGTAAGCGGCCGAGTCCAACGAAGCCAAAACCAACGAAAGTCGTCTTAGTGCATTTCACATGGCGCACAGGAACGTGTAAACGGCTGGTACTACCCGACCAATCCCGCACACGCACGCATCTCCATAGCCGTGTACGTCATGCATGAGCCTCATTGCAGGCTGCAACTGAGGACGTCAACCGATTTGCGCCTGGAAACCAGCATGGTTTGATTTTACTCTCTTGACTCATTCACATCGTAGAAGAGCGGCACGTTCAGCGGTACTCCCTCCGTTTTTAAACAAGTGTACTTTTAATTTTGTTGAAGGGTTAAACTATCTCAAAGTTTGACCGAGTTTGTGCAAACATATATTAATGCTCGTGAAAACAAATAGGTATATGACAAAAATATATTTTATTATGAATTTGATGCTACTAATTTGATGCATAAATGTTGCTCTATTATAATGTAAATACGGTTAAATATAATTTTTTTTAACTTTCTAACAAAGTTGGAAGTACACTCTTTTAAGAATGGAGGGAGTACTTATTTTAGCAGACCGACAGTCAGCAGTCGGTAGCAGCTGTTTACACGTTCCTGCATTGCTGGTACTGATGACATTTCTCGCATGACGATCATGCATGTACCTAGTCTACCACCAAGGCGGAAGCGGTCTATTTCCGTTGCGGAGAATGTGTTTGGTGCAGTATAAAACTACAAACGCCGGCCAGAAGCTAATGCGTGTATGTAGCAGCAAGCAAACACAGGGACGACGATCCAAGCTCCAGAAATGAGGACCTCCATCCATGGCTGCTCTCTTCGTCAGCCAAGCATGCGCGCCGGCCGACGGCAGCCCTCCTCCGTCTCCGCGAGCGCCACTCGTCTCCCTCGGCAGATCATATCGGCTGCAAAGGTTTCTCGCCTCTCTCTGAACCCCACTATTTGATCAGGACGCGCCGAGAGATACATATAGGCTTATATCGTTGTATATCTTGTGTGTTTCAAGGAGCTTCACCAACAGCTTGCTTTGAGAATTGGGGATGCATCATCAAACGCTCTCAATTATGCGTCGCAAAGGTTGCTGGATGCATTTGTGGGCATCGTCTTCACACTAAATCACCAACCTTTACGTCCCACCGAGGTAAGTAGCCAGGGATAGGATAACATATAACTCTTGTATCTGCATGCTAGCTACTCCCTCTGCCTTTCAATATAAGACCTCCTTTGGTTTGGAGGAATTTCATAGGAATTCTAGAGGATAGGATTCTTATAGGATTTTTTTCTTTAGAGCCCTTTGGTTCATAGAAATGGATTCCTATTCCTACATAGGATTGGTTCCTATCCTCCACATTTCATAGGAAAATAAAAATGAGCCTAGACTCAATGGAAAAATTCCTTTGGTGTCAACCAAATGACATCTTGTTTCCTATTCCTACTCATAGGATTTGAGATACATGTCATCTAATTTCCTACAAGATTCCCAATCCTACGATAATCCTATCCTATGAACCAAAAGAGGCCTAAGACGTTTTTGCAAGCTACGTTAGCTTGCAAAAACATCTTATATATAAGACGGAGCAAGTACATAATAGTGATAATAGTAAAATGTAAAGGGCTGTGGGCATCGATCGGCAGAGGTCAGGTGGTTTACCCTCTTGAAAACAAGACAACAAAATATATCCATCTTGATTTCACTCAGTCAACAAGTGAGGCGATCACACCATTGCAGCAAAATGTTTAGGCGACCAAATTTAGGAAGGTTTGTAAGTGCTTAACTACCCGTTGAATTAATAAAATTCCTCAATCCTTGTCGCAGGGTAATTTTGCACCCGTCGAAGAGATCGGCGACATGCGAGAGATATTTGATATCGCAGGAGAGATTCCAGCAGATTTTCCAGAGGGTGTTTATATAAGAAATGGTAAACCTTCTATGCTCCTACCGTCTTACCAACTGAGAGATCACAAAATGGATGCATGGAGCAGAATCAAAATGCATGCATGCAGGTTCAAACCCTCTCTTTGGAGCCCTCCACTCGTCAAGCTCTATCTTTGGCAAGTCCCACGACATTTGGGTCGAAGGAGAAGGCATGCTCCACGCCGTGTACTTCACCAAGAGCAACAACAACACATGGTCAATCAAGTACACCAACCGCTACGTGCAGTCCGATACATTTAGGGTTGAGAAAGGACTGAAGAAACCATGCTTCCTCCCTGCCACTGACGGTGACCCTCTTGCGATGCTCATAGCGGGTACCCTTAATACTGTAAGTACATGATTGACAACTTTTTTCCTTCTTCTGGTGGTTATGGAATGCTGAAATACGCTGCATGTGAGCAGCTGAGGTTCGGAAAGGCTTTCAAGAACATGAGCAACACCAGCGTGTTTGAGCATGCTGGGAGAGTCTTCTCAGCAGCAGAAAATGATAACCCCCATGAGATTGACTTGTATAGTCTTGGCACACTGGGTAGCTGGAATGTTGATGGAGGATGGAAGATGCCATTCACTGCCCACCCCAAGGTTTGTCCTCCCGCTTACTTTCTCAAAATGATACTTTATAAATATACACACACACAGGTCAAGTGTATGATGGTGATGCGTTAGAGGTGATACCAAATAGCAACAACACCATATAATTTGAAATAGTATTGTGATCACTTATTAGACCAGGCATAAAATGTGTTAACTGAGAAAATAAGTGAATTCATATTATTAGTTGTCTTCTGGGTTTACATGCAAGAGAATATTGTTAGTTAAGAAGGACAACAAACTGTTTTTTACCGGAACAGTAAGAAATTCCTCCTTTGTATCTTTTTGTATTTTCTTTTAGGAGTATCCTCTACATGCAAAAAATAAGACTATTATTCCAGCATAACACGTATTCCCTTCTTGCCAAATTATAATGCATATAAATTTGTTCAAAGTCAAATTGTCTAAACTTTGACCAAGTTTATAGAAGATTAAATGACCATTCACAATACCAAATATATACCAAGCGAAGATACATTTCTTGATGAATCTAAAAATATTGATTTAGTTCTGTAAATGTTGATAAATTTATCTATAAACTTGGTCAGAGTTTACAAAGTTTGACTTTGACCAAATCTAATATGCACTTTAATTCAGCACCAAATTTTATATGTACTATAATTTTTAAAAAACTTGTACAATTCGTATTAATACTGCTTCTAAGACATTTTTAGTTTGATTACCAAATTACACTAGTTCTTTTTGGAGAATTTATCATGTAGAGTTGGTACTTAAACTGAAGTCTTGCTCATGGATCTGAACTACGTCTCTCGTGATAATGCTGCACTCATGTTATAGTAGCATCAGTGGAAATCCACGAAAAAATAACATGCACTTGTTAACTAGCACAATCCGAATATAGTTATCCACTATAATGTATAAACAAAAGAAACTATAAGTTATGCAAAAACAACATTAGATGAATCATAGCACCAACAATATTATTACCGAGTCGAATCGTAATGATAATTTCAGAACCAATGGAATTCAGACAACTCACCCGCACTAAATATGTTGAGCTATTGCCCTATGTTGTATGCTCTGCTAATAAATTACTTGTTACGAACTTATGGTAGAAGCCTGCCTCATACATAACATACATAAATTACTAAATTTTAGTCCAAGCAACATTTCATTGTCCAAGCAGCACTCTGACAAATGGTATGCAAATGTTTGTTGCAACTCAAAGCGCTGAAAATGCCATTGAAATAGCTCATCCCCAGTGCTAAATGTTCATAGTATGATTTGTAGCATTAGAAGCATTATTTGAATCAACGAACAAAAGTGTAGGTGGATTCAGCCAAGACCAAGACAATTCCAAGTTTCATTTATGTCAAGATTTCAAAAACAATTATGAAGTCTGTCACTCCTAATTGAACCTAGACTATTTTGACATGTAGGACTTAGGATGATAAAGTTTTGAGTGTAGTTAATTGCTTAATCGTTTTCCATGTGTTGTTAAGTCATCGATGTTGTCTATGAGAATAGGTAATCCCTTCATCATTTCCATGTTTTGTTAAGTCATCGATGTTGTCTATGAGAATAGGTAATCCCTGGAACAGGAGAGTTGGTTATCTTCGGGTTCAACGTGGATGCGCCTTTTCTAACGGTTGGAGTTGTCTCAGGTATCACTACTTATTAATCTGTTGCATGCTGTATGTGATTAATAGAAATCAGCTTAGAATTTGATTCCATACTACCATCTGCAGCCGACGGGAAGAAACTACAGCAAAAGGTTGCTCTCGAGTTAGATAGATGCACATATTGTCACGAAATAGGAGTCACTACAATGTAAGTTTTCCCATGATAGAAGATTCACTAATGTGATGATTACTCAAGAATTTCTTTATTTTCTATTGAGAAAACTCAACTTTATTTAACATTTTGTAAATTATTCCATTTAATATTAAGAATGTTGGAAAGAGTAATGTAATAAAATAGCATCCAGTGAATTTTAGTGGACGTGTCGCACATGAAAACAATTCATTGAAGCCATTTCCCAATGAAAATTAATATAGTAATAAGTAAGTTATACTAGTATTGTCGGGTCTTTAGGGTGGCTTTCTTCTCCTAGAGTTTATTATCCACTCCTTTTTCCGAGAAAATCGTAGGAGCTTTGTGTTTCATTATTTGATTGGAAAGGTAGAAAAACTTGAACAAGCTTTGAGAAAGGCCTAGTATAATAGACGCAACAATTCGGCTCTCGAGCTCATCTTCTCCCTTGGGTGACTAGTAAAATCGAAAAAGTACTACAAAAATTCAAAAAAAATTATCATGGAAGATGTTCGAGTGTGTGATGCTCGTGCCAAATTTGGTGGTGTTTGGACATCTAAGTAGTTCTCAGCAAAAAAGAATTAGGGTACATGAGAAAATTTAATATTCATGCACTGTTCTGGCCCAATTTTGTCATTTTTGCCACGAGCTCCTCAGATGTCCAAACAACATGAAACTTTGCACCGACATCACGCATTCAAGTGTCTTGGTTGACAAAACAATTTGATATTTTTCAAATTCTTCTAATATATTTTTTATTTTACTGTTCACCAAAAGCACATGAGCCCGGGTTCAAAAATGAATATTTGTGGTACAACTCCCTTCAAAGACAAAAAAAAAGTGCCCATACGCAATAACACCTTGAGGGTAACTCTAAACCATCCAAACACTTAAGTCTGAAAAAACTCATTTCCAAAACTTAATTCCAAAATTCATCGGTATTTGGAGGGTGGCATCTAATCCATCACTTAAGCTTAACTCCCGATGAAAATTTCCTTTATTTCTAACATCATTTAACGTACATAAATCTCATTTCGATAAAATATTATTTAAACCTTGATGTTTCTAATGCATAGGTTTTAACAACATTTAAAGTTCATATTTTATTCAAATTTAAACCACATTTTACTCAACAATGCTACCAAAAGCAACAACATAGAACGTCCAAAAGCATCAACATAGAGCATAGTTCATTATTACACTACATGGTTCACCCAAAAGCGACCGCATGCAACATAGTTCATAAATCAAATCACATCACCCCCCCCCCCCTTGTGACAACCACTACCATATAACATTGATCTTGGTATTCTGGAAGCCAAGATCTCACCATGGGTGAGTCCCAACGGTGGATTGCATTTTCATCCATCCCACGAACATGAACGCTTTCTCTTGCTCCTTCCTCTTGTTTATTTTTTTCTCAGACTCATTCTTGAACTCCTCCTCAATAGCACGCATATGGTCACCCGCACTTGCATTCCACTCCTCAGTATTGTCATGAGAGTGCCATAAAAATAGCCTTGATTCTCTTTGAGCATCATCCACCTTGACAACTTATTGTGCTTCCTTTCGGCCACTAACTCATTCCTTGCGTCTACCATTCCTTTGTGTGTTTCCATGTAAATCCCATCTCTGCACCATTACTTCTCCTCTCCTTCTCTTTTTTCCTCCAATCAGGGCTAGATCTAGGACTAGGATTTCTTCTCATGTCCTCATCAGCACCCTCACTTCCTCCTAAAGATAGAAGATTATATGCTCAATCTTGACCTCATTGGTGTTGTTTTCCAACTACTGTCGTGCGCCATTTCTCATTTCCTTGAATAGCCCGATAATGCAACAAAGTAAAGGGATTATGTTGCTTCCTCGTGTTTCATTTCTTATATAGTTCATGAGTACATGTTTCATGCACATTAAGTGTCGCATCACTTGGAGGTATGCAGCCCACTTGATCAACATGACCCAAGGACTAGTTCCAACAATATTGAATTGTACCTGAATAGTGTGAGACTTAAAGTTTTGTTCTTTTGGACTCACCTTTCTCATTTTGGTGCTAGTACTCCTGAGTCCTCATCCCAAATGTGTCATTCATTTGTTCGGTGAAAATAGGGGAATCAAGAGAGGCACTCGTACATGCATAGCAGAATTTCTCATCCTCCTCTACTTTGTAATTGGAAAATCTTGAATGCTTCTTCTTAATTATTGGAGACTCAATCTCAACCACATCTGGTCCTCCACTTCGACACTCTCATTTATCATCGAGAGGGCAATATCATCTAATCCAGTTTTGTCATCATTTAACGTTACATCGCCATGAAATTGTCCATCTTTCGGGCCCTTCTACACACAACAATGTAAAATTGCACAAATTAAACCTCAAACACATAGCAACAAATGGAAACTTTTAAAATGGATGCAGTTGCATTGGATTGTGATTAGTAATATAACAACCAATGCATTTGCAACATTGCGGAGAGAAAAAACAAGAAAGAAGACATCGTTGCATTTGCATAACTTCTGGACACATGAGAGCACTACTGCAAGATATGCAGCGGCACACCCATGGGTCAATTTTCAAATTTATAAGTTCGGATGGTGGAGACTAGGAGGGGCGGAAGATGCAGATTGAGTCGGAGGATGCACATTGGGTAGGAGCCACCGCAGGGAAAAATGATTTGTGGATTTACTGGTTCGTTCACGTCCTAGTAGAAATATTTCCTACCACCATGCACTTAAAAAATAATTTCCCATGCAAAACATGAGCGTGGAAAAGTTTTTGGGACATACATTTTTGGAATGGGTTTTGGGGTTTTTACTTTTGCACATGGATAAGAATGTCCTAAACAATATACATATTAGCGAATGGTGGATAAATTCCTCATTTATATTTTATACATAGAACAAATTACTTGTAATTTAATGGTTGTCTTAGATGATATATTCACCAAAAGAAAGATTCATGTGCATAAAGGCAGTCAAGGATTTAACAAAACATGATGCAATTTCTGGTACACTGCATTAGCAATGCCAATAAACAAAATTGATGGAATCAAATATCAAGCTGTGAATGTAGGTACAACATTATCTTAGATGCTCCACTTACAATCAACAAGGAAAGGATGCTAAAAGGTGCTCCGTAAGTACTAATAACAAAATTAGTCTTGATTCCAAAATTATTATCCAGTGTCTAGTTTATCATTTATATGTCCCTCGTGTAGGTTGATTGAATTTGAAAAGGATAGCTATGCAAGAATAGGTGTTATGCCCCGTTATGGTGATGCAAACTCGATAACATGGTTTTATGTACAATCATTCTGCACGATCCATCTTGTCAACTGCTTTGAAGAAGATGATGAGGTACAAATATATAAGCAATCGCAGTATACTTCATGTTGATGTAAAGGCATCACAATATACTTTATGATGATGTATATTGAGGTAGATACAAGTCTACTGCAGTATTAAATATTTGTGTCATTTCATTTTCTCACCCTAAAGGAACACCGAGTTTCTATTAAGTACATACCATAGATCCCTCAATGATCAAGAAGTCATGAACATGTTTGGCTCAAGGAATAACCAAAGGTCATGACTAAAAACTTGTAGGAATTGGATGTCAATACATTTTGTTTCCTACAAGAATTAAAAACATATGGATAAGGAATGGAAGTTCTTTGATTGGACCAAAAGGAAAACATGCAAAATTTTCTTGAGCATTAGGTGCTTGTCATAGTTGTCATAGATATAAATTCAATTTCCAAGAGTCTGGACTCAATGAATCTTTTTGTTTGGAATATAGTACAAAGTGACCCATAGGAAAGCCATGTATGATGATTGCTGGATTAGAAGAGAAAGAGATGGAAAACGGCTTTCCTTGTCTTTGCTAAGAGATGATTCCCTAGTAATAAAGACATGACATTTGTATACTTTATACGATATGTATTCCACTAATTATATGGTTTCTAGAGTAATTTTAACCATCCTACAATTTTAGGAGCATGCAAACATTAATTACTCAGGATGAGACTAAAAGATAATCAATTGTATAACATGTTCTTTTAACTTCTATAGGTGGAGTGGAATGCATAATAAAATATCATGTTATCATCCATTGTACACGTACATGGCCTTTGGAAACAATCATTTTAATTAGTAAGTTATAACTTGGTTTTTGGATCAAGTTGACCCGTCCCATATAGTGGTACTAGAACTACTAAACTAATATGCATTTATTTTATCAAGCAATCAATAAAGAAGAAAAGGTGAATCCCACCTCAAAACCATATCCCCTCCCTCACACCACCCACAGTGGTTGTTCCCAAACCATGCCACCTTACCCACGATTCACCCATTGTTTTCCCCTTCGGATGTGTCCTATGGTTGGTTGCAACACCTCTACAACATATGCGTATATAATTATTAATGGATTCTTCATCCATGGTATAATTTTTCCTTGTCTAATGATTTAATAGGTCATTGTGAGAGGATTTCATGTGCCAGGTTCTATCATTTTGGGGCCAAGGATAAACTCCAATCAAGGACTAACCGAGGAATGTTTTTCTCGCTTGTATGAGTGGAGACTAAACTTGAAAACAAGGACAGCTATAGGCAAATACTTAACTGGAAAAGAGGTTGCCCTGGAATTCCCAGTAATCAATGACAAGTATGTTGGCTTGCCTCACAAGTATGCATATGCACAAGTGGCAGATTCTCCGGCAAATTTGGCAGGTGGTCCAGGAATAGGTATTGGTAAACATACATCAGTACACTACTTAATATATGGAACTTCTATTCAAACTTGAGAAATAGATATAAAATAGGGGTTATTGTCCATACATCAGTCACTTGTCCTAATTTGCACAGATACTTGTCACAAAAAACATGCTAATTTAGATGCCATTCAGCCACAAGGGTATCATATTACCCATGATGATCCATAAATCCAACATGTGAAGACATATATTAGTTGGCCATGAAATCTTGGATGTAATTCCCATATTGTTTCTTTGACACTCCTTCCATTCCAAAATGTGGCCTCATATGTGAGAAATAGAAGTATATGACCCAATTAATTAAAATATATTAATACATGGAACACATAATATTTGTTTATTTTTACACAACTAAAAAATAGAACAAATATAACAGGTGAATAAGGTAGTCACCCTACACTAATTTGGCCACATTAAAATTTTAAAGTATTAACATAGATAAGTGAAGTGCATCTGTCTCTCTAGTCAAAAGCAAATATTGTCCTAGGATCATGGAAGAGAAGTGTTTTGACTCCACCTTTCTGAATCTTCAAAGTGGGCACACAAATGGTATGAGTAGATTGTCATGAAAATATTTCATAGCTATATTACACACACATTACACGGACCCAAATCAACCACAGGAGGTTCAATTCATGCCATACTGACCATCATGACATCTATTGGCCACTTTTTTCATGGCCATGCACACAATATGTCAAATAAGAAAGCTACCATTAATGGCTATAGATCCATGTACAAAAAATGTCATTTATTGGTCACAATGCAATGTTATTTAGTCTAAATGTCCATCGCATGCAAATTTTGTGCAATATAGTTTAATACTATTCTGAATCATGTAGTACGACCAAAATTCGGAGGTTTTTCAAAAATTTGTCTTGATGAGAAAGAGGACGCAACCACCAAGGTAACTATCATATACAAATAGGTTATTCAGTTTGGCCCATCATTTGAAATTACTATATTCCAATGAAATTAACTTCCAGTCCCTAATTCTTAAAGAACAAAGGCAGAGAAGACCTCATAAAAGTGAAGTATCATCACCTTGACAGAAATCAATTCTGCTCTGGAGCAACTTTTGTGCCAAAGGTCAATGGTACAAACGAAGACGATGGCTGGATAGTTTCGTTTGTGCATGATGAGGGGACAAATAAATCTAAAGTAAGTTTTCAATAGATTCAACGTTCTTGTGCTATTCTACAATAATGTCTATGTGGAAATTGTTGTTTTATGGAAGCTAGCACATTCAATGCTTTCTAATGATAGGCATCCGGTCATTTAGCTGCAAGCATAGATCCTAGAGATGTTTCAACAAACGTTGAACCTATTTACTCTACACTTTCGCTTAACTCCTTAACACATACAATTATCACCAAGAGTCGAATACTTTAGAAACAAAAATTGGGACCGGAGGATACATATTATCAATTTTAAAATGATTGAATATTGTCACGAAAGTGTATGTTGCCTTCATGGCCATAGTAAATATTTGAATATTCTTCTTCTCATTATGTAGGTGCACATCATCAACGCACAAACATTTGAGTATGAGCCTATTGCCAAGATAACACTGCCGCAAAGAGTGCCATATGGTTTTCATGGAGCATTTATATCAAAAAGTACATGACAAAGGACATGATTTTCCTATAAGCCATGCATCCACCACTTAATGCATAATATATTCATATATAAAGTTTACCATTTATTATGACTGTGACTTTATGGCAACCCTATGGTTTTCATAGAAGACTTGTATCAAAAGGTGCATAACAAAGTGACAGTTTTACCTATAAGCATCTATATCAGTAAACTCTGACAGACCCCTCGATAGAGTGTTGCGACTAGCTGGAAGAAATAGAGAGGTAACAGAGGATCGATTCACATAGGTTTGGGACCTCATGGTGGAGGTAAAACCCTAATCATGCTGGTATTATACTGTGATGATGGGGGTGTACAAGGTGCAAGGATGTATCGAGCGATAGATTGTAAGATGTTTTGGACTAGTCCTCCCCTTGCTTATAAAGGGTGTCGGGGGTCTATGGTTTATAGGAATCCTAGCCGACCTAAGCAACATGGAGAATCCATATGGCAGCCTACACATATGAGCACCTCCGAGAGACTGAGCTGGCACATCATCTTGAGATTGACGAAGTCATCATAGATGCATTCGTAGTCGACAGGAGTTTCTCCTCCCATTGAATACACATGGCCGGAAGGCCTGAAATAAATTCAAAAAAATGTAAGCACCAGTCTCAAGTTTAGGACTTGAACCCTGGTGGGTTGAGGATGCCAATGTCCTCCTAACCATCTAACCACAGGTCAAGCCAGCACTGTAGAGGAGTGGCGGCAGCGGCGTGACGGTGACTCGTTCTGACGGCAATAATGGTCGTTCGGTGGTCTTGAAATCTCAATGTAATAATTTTTATTATGTTTGAGATGCTTTGTACTTCCAATGAACTTCTATAATGGATCTGATCTTTTCATTCCCAAAAAAACACAAGTCCGGACATGTTTTATAATAGCTTTACATAAGAATAGGGTTTCCAAAATCAGGGAAATGCTCTTCAGATTGAAGCGCGTGCTATTACAACATCTACAGCCGGATACAACAACTCCGACCCTCAAACGCCCGCGGACGCGCCCGATCACGTCTCAAATAATCTCTTTCACAACCAGATTCCTCAATTAAGAAAACTCAAATCCATATAATTACATGCAACGTGAAGCCTAATCTAAGCGGAGCTTGTCCACGTGCATCGTGCCAATGTCCGGCGGCCGGCTGCGTCCTCGAAGTGTTTCTCAGGTCGCTAGCAAGGTAGAGTAGGACATGGGGATGGAACATGGACCAGCTCACGGGACTCGAGGCGTCGTTGTCTCACATGCCCTACTCTTTCTTGTCGGAGTCCGGTGCCTTGACGGTGCTGGTTGATCTGGGGTCCATGATGGTCCCGTCGTGGTCGGAGGCCACGTCCACCATGCCGTCTGAGGTTGCAGGCCATCCGTCGAGGCACCGAAGAGTGTGACTCCACCTCACTGACGTATGCCATGATGCATGCCACGGCCTCCTACGCTCTCTGCCTCGCACGACGGGCACAATGTGCCATACACTCAGCGGATGGGCTACAAATGGCCTCGTCCTTCGCGCGCCAATGAAGGGGCTACGTGTCCGCCATGGCGTTCTGACGCCAGATGGAGCGCACCACCTCCGGCAAGGTTGCGACGACCTGCCTCGCGCCGGATCCATATGCCATTTGGCGGAGCTGATGGATTTGTGGCAGATAGAGTCCGACCTCTGTCGGGCATTCTCCTCGCGGGTGTGGCGGAGCGCAATGCGGACAGCCATCTCCTCAAGGATGACCGGGATGACGTCTTAGTTCACGAATCGGCTGACGAAGGACTCAGATCTGCTGCCCACCATGTCGGAGAAAGTTGGAGATCGTAGGACGGTAGTTAGGTGACGGAGTGGAGTGGCTAGGGTTTGGTCCGAAAAACGGATAGAGATGCATATATGTGGGGTCAGTTGGGCCGGGTCCGACATGAAGGACGCGTCCGGGCCTCCCAATATCTGCCCCATATCTGGGGTGGATGTAGAGGTGCCGGTCAACCCGGACATTTGAGCCCGGTTTGAGACGTCCATCCCGATCAGGTTTTTTCGGCCGGTCAGCCATCAGGACGTCCGTCTGGGCGTGGTTTGGGGTGCCCGGTGTAGATGCTGTTAAATTCCGGAGATTGCATGCAGCATGCGTTCAAACTGAGAAACGATTACCATACCATTACCATGGTCTACACAACGTTAAAATCCGGTCTTCAAATTTTTTGAAACGACAAAGAAAAACGAAGCTTTCGTCTTCAACTTGTTGAGTTTCTGGCAGAAAAGCAAACCCATCTTTGTGCCAGTTCGTCCTTCGTCGGGTAGCGTAACCGCTCCCCTGACAGAGGAATCGTCAGAGGGTGGAGACTGAAAAGAGAGGGCGGATCCCGAGGCCGAGGCGCGCCCTCCACCTCTCCATCTTGCCTTGCGTGGAAAGGAAAACCTTCCGGGCTCGGACTGCGCATGGAGAGGCATCCGGGCCGTCGGTTGGGGATGAGCACGGAGGCCAGCCGTCCGCGGCCCTGCCACCCCGGCTATTTATACGGGGGCGCCTCGCGCTCGCCTCTTCCCATTCCTACACCTCCCTCATTCTTTTCTTTCTCTTCTCTGCTGAGATCCTACCAAAGGAGTGTAGCGTAGTGTGTGTTGCAGAGTTGGCGCGCGTTTCTTTCTTGGATCTGGCCTTCTCCCATGGCCATGGCTCCTCTCTTCTTGGCTTACTTTCGTTTGCTTTGCTGTGATGAACTTCTCTCCGTCTTGATCTTGGTTTCGTTCGTTTCTTCTTTAATTTGCATCCTCCTCTAGCTAGTGTTTTTGACGTGCCTGCCGATGACACGGATCTTTCCCGGACCAACTCCACTGCCTGTGGTGATTTCGTCCCCAGACGTTGAGGCACGCATCTTTTTGAGGTTTGGATGTTGTTGTTTGATTTGCAGTCCTCGTTTGCTTTCTTGCTGTTTTTCTGCTCTTGCGTTCCATTCATATGCATCATGCCGGTGATGGTTTCTTTCATATGCATGCATGGTTCTTCCATCTTCCAAGTGAGTGATGGTTCTACCACATTAGTTACCAGCCAGAGGCACGCACTACTTGTTTTTACTGCGTGCGTCCGTTCTTGTGTACGCAATAGTTTGTCCGACCTTTGTAATAAAGTTTCCATCCATTCATGGGTCCTTGTTTGATTCTTGCAAGGCCGGTTTCCGATGACGAAACACCGATGGCTTTTGAGATGTGTTATGCACAGATGACAAGAGCGAATTAATTTCTTCAAAGTATCCGAGGCCTGCCGGCTAATTAAACTCCTTAATTTGACAAATTGCTGGCCTCCTTTAGTTCTTGGATCTGGTACCACCCACATGATTTGCGTTGCGTGCTTGCATTGTGTCCCAGAATCCGGCCGTGCGTAGGCTTGAAAGACACCTTGATGCATGCATGGGTCGTTTGATTTTTGACCAGGCCGACCGATGACGACGCATATTGGCTTTTGAGATGTGCTCTATGCTATGCATGCACAGATGACAACACCTACTCATCTTTCTTCAAAGCATCCGAGGCCGGACGGCCAACTATTTTCTTGGGAAGTAATTCGGTTCTTGGATCTGGCTGGCATGCCCTGCACTGTCTGATTTACTTTGTCTTTGGTTCGTTTCTTGCGTCCAGACCTTGCATGCGTTTCTTGAACGCTGCTGATTCTCTCTTTTTTAACCCACTCCATCTTTTTTTCCACTTGGCCTCTGTTATTTGATTTCGGGTCATGGCGCTGATGACGACATGGCTTGCTTTTCTGATATTATCAATGACGAGCAAATTAAGACGCCAGGAGCCAGCTAGCTAGCTAGCACCTTTATTTTGTTTTGTGACAATTTTTTTCACCTCAATCTGAGAGTATTTCTCCACTATTTATTTGGGCAGATGATGACACACATACAGCTTAATTATGAGATGTGCTATGCACAGGTGACAAGAGCTAATTTATTTCTTCAAAGTATCTGATGCCAGCTACCTAGTAATACAATTTATTTCTTCATGCATCTTAGTATGACACACATACGGCTTTTGGATCTGACTGATCTGCCATGCATGCATCATGCATGCTTGATTTACTTTGGTCTCGATGAATTTCTCGCTACCATGACGTACGCGGCATTGGTTTCTCCCGGCCCATTTTGGGGAAGAATTCTTGGCTTTTGGTTGCTACTGTAGCGATGTACAGAAGGCTAACTGCTTCTTTGATTTCCGTTACGTTCGCCGATGACGGCATTGCTTGCTTTTCAGATAACAAATACTGTAAATGCCGAGCAAAGTATCGAGTATCCGAGGCGCGACAATGCCATTTACGTAGCACCTTCTTTTCAATCTGCATGTTATCTTTTCCTACCTCTCTTTGATTCGTACGTGAACCTTTGGTCTTTGGCGATTTCTGCAATTAGCTAGCGTACCCGTTCTTCCTGAGTTTTGTTCTCACACGGGTTCTTCAATTTCGATTCCACTGATGATGACTTTTTGAGATGTGCTACATATATGCACAGATGACGCAATTTCTTGAAATATACTTCCTCCGTCTCAAAATTCTTGTCTTAGATTTGTCTAGATACAGTTCTTGTCTTAGATTTGTCTACATATATGCACAGATTTGTCTAGATACGGATGTCCGTATCTAGACAAATCTAAGACAAGAATCTTGGGACGGAGGGAGTATATGCTACACAAATATATCAAGTTTGATTCAAGTTTCCCAGCAGCTTCTTTTTAGGTTAGTTTCCTTTTGTTAGCTTTAAATTCATTCTGAATTTAGGTTTCTTGCATGCAAAAAAAAATTATTGCTCCTACCCATTAGTAGGTCCGATGATGTGAAAGTGAAAAGAAAGGTTATAAGTTTTGAGCCAATGGGTCTCTCCATTCGGCCATGAAAACTGCACTACACTTTCTGAGGCCAAGGTTTCATGCAGTCTCTTCTTCGGCTTATTATTGAGTGTTTGGTGTTTCCTAACCTTCGCAACTTCTTTGGTCAAAAACAAAAAGTTTGGTCCTATCCG